TCCTCTAATATAAAGATAAATTCTTTACCATGACTCATCCCACATTGATCTTTCCAGTCACATATAAAGCCATCATTTCTAACACTCATTTTACACATATCACACAGGTCTTGTGTGTGCTGCAGCCTGTATACTTGCTACAGATTTTTGAACAAATTTCCTCCTGAGTGCCACATTCTCCTTTTAGTTTTTTGCCTTCTTAACTCCATCTCTCCCTTTAAATCTCAATTCAATCATTTACTCAGAAAAGACTTTCTTGACTTCCCTGGCTTCACTGATAAGATAAAAATATAACTTACTTGGAGAGCAGCTGCACCCAAGGCAGCATGACAGGAGAGCTGCTGCACTCATGATGTGTTTGCTCCCAGTCAGTACCACATCAAACTGCCAACTCCTAGACAGCTCTACACTTTGGCTCCCCTGGACATGGGGCCACAGAAGCAATGACCAACCAACTGACCTGATTATAGATGACGTAAATGCCTTAAAGTGTCAGTATCTTCAGGGAGAAATGATGGATGGACCAGCAGCATTAGCTCCAAGAAAAGCCCAAGACTGTTATAAACTGCAAAAACAGTGTAGGGTTTTACTCTGGCAGTGATTTTTTTTTTCACAGTGGGATAAAATTGGAGAAGAAACAGCACAGTGCTGCCGTATTGCCAGAAAGAGTTTAACTAGGTGCCATTTTGGGAAGATTGTGTGGGACTGAACAACAGAACAGCTACACTACAGCTTCACTTCCGGATTTTCAGTGTTACCCTGTCACAGCGACTGGGTAAGAGACAGATGTGGAGAGGATGAGGGCTAGACATAAATTCCTTGAGAAGTTCAAGCTCAGGCCAGGAAAAACAGAGGGTCCCACACTTTACTAGAAGACAGGACTGTTGTTGATCAATTATTGAAAGATACCTTAAAAACAAGAAGAGTACATGAAAAATGGACCCAACACCTGCAGATGTGGCTTTAAGAGGTGGCTGGATCTGAAGGTGATGTTCAGTAATCTGCTTGAGCCCCTGCCCTGATGTTGATGTCTATATCCAACAGAGACCCCATGGTCTGATTGTCTTCCCTTTTACCAATGTGACAAGAATGTGACTTAGCTTGGACAGATGCGAAAAACTGGGGATTACAGATGGTAAGTCCTCTGGGATGGGAGAGGGAGCACATACAAAACCACAGGCTATAAAGCTGGGTAGAGGGGGCTATGACAGGCTGGATTCTAAGACTACAGGTCCTGAAAGAAAACCACTCATTTAGAAATACAGAGGAAGTTTTTTTGGACCCATTTTTTTTTCTTGTTATACTGCTCTGTGTGTGTGTGTGTGTGTGAGCGCACGCACAAGCACACACATGAAACATTTGGAGTTTTCCTTTTTTCTGCTTTGTTTCTCTCTCTATTTTTCCCTTCTTTTTTCTTTAGATTATTGTCTGCTTTTTTCTTGTTTATTCTTTTGTTACTTTTATCTAATTTTAAAAACTACCTTTTAATCCTAATAGGATAATTTCACTGTTTTCACCTCCTTCTCATTTTCCATTGTTTAATTTTTCAAACTTTAATTTTTTATCCATTTTCCATAATTTCTATCTTTAATAGTTATATAACCATTAAGCTTTATGAATCTATAGATAGTTAACTATGTTAGTGCTAAGTACTATTACATTGTTAGTGGAGTTAAAGTTGTTTCATTTAACAGGTATTTACTGTAGGTCAGAATTTGGTTTGTCTCAATGTCTACACTATAATCATAAATCCCTTTTCTATGGGATGGTTAACAGTGTGGTATGTTATTGATTCTTGGGCCATGTTAATATCAGGTTTTCTTTGATACTATTATTGTTGCTTATTTTACTAGTACTATAGCGATGGTGACATGATTATTACTATCAATTGGTTTTCTCCATATGACAATACTTAGATTGCCTTGGTGTCATTAACAATTTTGTGGCCCATTCCCAGAGAACTGTAGCATGCCCTCCCAAATAAATGGAGAGAAGGGAATCTAGGACTAATAGGAAATAATATACAACATGGCAGGTCTTGTCTGTTCCCAGCATCACTCCACCAATGTTTTTGCCAGGAATTATGCTTTGTTAAAGCTACCTGCAATGCAAATGTTGAATCAATATAACTGTTTGAACTTCCTAATCTAACTACCAGCTGCAAGATGTTCCTGTATCTGTTCCTACACAATGTTTCAAGATATTGCTAACTCTGCCCTTCTGCTTCTGTAAATGTGCTTGTTTAACATGTTAACTCAACACCCCTACCCTATAGATCTGTATAAGGCTGCTTCCATTTCTATTCAGGGCTCAGATTTTGGAGTCCAAACTCTTCTGGGCCCACATAGTAAAAGATTCCCTTCATCTCTCCAAGTGCCTCTTGGCTTCTTTGCCTCCAGAGAACTTCAGATAGCTGTAGACTGAGCTGTAACATTTGGCTATAACACTGAGCTGTCGAAATTTGCTATGACAGGACAGAATCAGAGGCCTATAGTTAGATATGCCCAGAGTACATCACTGAAAAGCAGACTCTAAGAGATCTCCATACTAACAACAAAGCCTTGCAAGTGAAGTTGCAGGCACACAGGCTGGGATGTTATGTGGACCCATAACAAGAGTGTCTGAGGGAGTGAATGATTGGTTTTCAAGTCTGCAATAAAAAATACCTTCCAATAAAACTACATTGCAAAAAAATGGGGAAGGAACTAATGGAAAAGGCAAAATGGTTGAGGAGGCAGAGCCTGAAGAATTTCTGGTGGAAAAAGTATAGGACCAATATATAGGACCAATGGGAAGGTGGAACATTTTCTGAAGTAGAAAAGATTTACAGATGCTGACCATACATGGGAGCCTGAAGAAAATTTACCTTGTCGTCCAGGGTTAATCAAAGCATTTCTTTTCTTTTTCTTTTTTTTAAAATGGTACCAGGGATTGAACTCGGGACCTTGCACTTGCAAGGCAGGCAACAGAACCACTGGGCTAAATCGCTGGCCCTTGAAGCATTTCTTAATTCTTGAAAAGCTGATTAAAAAAAAAAAAGATGGTACAAAAGAAAATCTTTACCTGACAGTGAATCTGATGATAGCAAATCAAAGAAGAAAAGAGATGCTGCTGAAAAACTAAGAGGTTTGTTAGCAGTCATGATCCCAAACAAATAATTACTGCCACATACAGCAGTGGAGAACTGATGTTTTTCACATTGTTTTTATTATATGAGAAACCCAAAATATAAATGAAGATCAAAAGAAAAGATAGATAACAGAAAGCAGGGAGATATTTTTGAAAGAGAGGTGATCAAGAGGTGAAGGGAAGGGGAGGGAGGGGGAAATGGGGATGAAAAAAAGAATTGAAAATAAAAAGGAGATCTTTTGCAATTGGGAAGCAGATCAAGAAATGGAAGGAGCAAGGAAGGAGGGAAGGGGTAGGGGATATAAAAAGAATTAAGATTGTTATGTACATGTACCAACTCCCCACAATAAATGTAAGCATGATGGATTACAAACATATACTAATAAAAATTTACTACAAAAATAACTAAATTAGAAATTACTATCAACAAGGAAAATATGTCTTACTTATGTTCTTATAGTAACATACTTTCCTCCTTTATAGCAGTTTTTAACAGTTATTAAATTACCAGTTCGTTTTACTGTTTGACTAACATCTGTTTTCCCTTCTAAACTACATGCCCCTTGTGGTCTGAAACTAGGAAAAGGGAAGAGAATTGAGATAGAGGAGGATAGGAAGTTAAGCAAAGCTATCTAATAAAGATTTAGAGGTTAGACTAGGAACTTGAATTTGATCCTAGTCAGCAATTGCCCCAATAGCAATGGAATATCATATTAGAGAAAATTTCAAAAGTTAAGTTTTCTTGCTTTTTGTGACATAAACTAATTTTCAGTTATCACATTAATCAGGAGCTCAGCAAGTTATTATTGAACCATCAAGCTGGAGAGAATCTGAATTTGCTCCCTAAACATGAAAAAATTTGAATTCTGTCTAAATGCAAAAGGATAGGTAAGATTAATTTTCTATAATTAAATATTAATCATTCAACCAGAGTTACCAATTAATCTAACGCATACTAAAGGAAACCTTCCAGCTCCTTTAAAGGCATTCCACAATTCCCCAAAGATCTAATCTGAAGAACAATATCCACAAGTTCCTTATAACCCAACTTCTCCCTGCATGTACTCTTTTTTCAAAACCTCTAATATTAGAGATGTATACCTGTAATCAAGCTCACTCCCAACTTCTAAAAAGTATAATTATTCTTTCTTAAAACTGACCTTATAGAAAAGTCATGTTATTGTCAGCTGTGACTCCCTGAAGAGAAAGAAGCTTACTGGGAGAGGAAAAGAGCTCTCATTTGTTCTTTGTTGTCAATTAATATTTCTAATGTTGTTAGTTGTAGGTGGGGACAACAATAAGATTCCCTTTTTGAACTTGGGAACTTCGCACAGAGTTTTGTACTACTTTTTAACGATGAGTTGAGGATATGCAAAGTCACCAAACAGAGACAGAATAAACTCTGGAGATTTAACAGCCAAAAATAAACTTGAAAAAGGGAAAGTCAAACATTTACAGTGTTTCCTTTCATGGCCTGAATAAAGAGCGTCTTGGCCCAGTGAGATGATTAACCAAGTGATGTGGTGGATATAGGCACTGAGCCATTTTCAGAGCTCTGTGACACCTGTATTAAAACCTCCAACTAGCTCTTCTTTTCCTAGTTTCAGTCTCACTGAACAGCCTCTTAGTTATGATAACATGTTCCACTTTCATTTGCCTGCAAAGAAAGCATTTACTTTGTGTATCTAATGGTTAATCTTAATTCAAATTAATTAAATAAACTAGCATTCTCTATTTAGTCATTGGACTCTATGAGCTTGTTCAATGTGAGTTCATTATGAAAATCATATCTAACTCTCATTATGCTAATCATGTTTTTAAGTTGAAGCCTGAGGGCCATACAGACATAAATTTTCCAAGGGAATGCCTACCTGAGAGGGATCTGTCTGGATGGCCAAACAACCTCCCAAGAGGATGCCAGGATTCTTTCCATATGTACTTTAAAACTGTAGCAATTAACGAGGGCAGCCTGGACTTCTACATCACCTGGCCCTAACAAGTTGTCTCTCTTCCTTCCTCCTGTAGAAGATAGAGAAAAGAATCAGTAAACTTTAAGAAAGAATAAAAAATCACCTAATTGGACAACAGAGAAAAAATAGACTAGAGTAAGATGAAACTAAATATTAAAACATAAGCAAATTGGGCTGGCACTTTAGCTCAGTGGCACTGCGCCTGCCTTGCAAGCACAAGGTCCTGAGTTTGATCCCTGGTATAAAAAAAAAATCCAAAACATAAGCCAACCACAAAATATTATATACTGTATAATTTCATTTATAAAACATTTTTTAAAAAAGAAGTATAGAAGTGAAAAGATTAGTGCTTAACAGAGTTAAAGAGGGGTACTCTAAGTTCACTGAATAAAAGTGCTCTACACTGAGATATCCCTGTTTTTTTACAACTAAATGTACATTTGTAATTAAAAATTAAGAATTAACAAAAATTACAATATCAACAATCTTTACAGATGAATAGAAAACTTTTCTTACAGATTTTGTCTTTTGTGTTGCTTTATTCTTGTCAGAAAAAGCCGTCAATATTTATTGAACACTTGTGATGATCATTCTCATATCACCTTATCTGAGAGGATATATAGCTTATCTAAAAGCATACAGTTGGTTATAAAGTGACAAAGTCAAGATTCACAGGGAGACATGATAGTCTAAAACTAGTGTTTTTGACTGCCACAGCTTTCAAAGACAACCCATGTTGAACATCACCTGGGACTTTATTTTGGAATTAGAGCTAAGACCATGCAATTTTGATAGTGTTTTTCCCTCATCCAGTTCTTTTCTTGTATCTCCGTTCCCACACTGCTCTTCTATGCTCTAGTGCAGATACATTTCTTGTATTCCACAAGCATCACAAGCAAGCTGAGCTTTTTCTGCTTCACTGGATGAGCTGATAAAATCTGATACTTCTTAAAATAAGTTTCTAAATAGCTCATGGAAACACTGTCAGGCATTGCTTGCAGTACCCAGGCTTTGTTCTGTTTTTCTGAGTCTCTGTAAAAATAGCTGCCTTTCCTTTTCTTCTATCTGCCCTATTGTTTGATGATTCTGGGCAGGGATGGTAGTGGTTAGTAAGAAAACCCACTCATTATTATAATTAATTAAAACCTTTGCATAACGGTGAATTCTTCAGTCTGCTGTACCGCACATTTTATATTTTCATGGCTTGGAGATATTGGATTAATTCAATATTGCAAGGATATGACAATTTCTTTAAAGTTGTCTGCCACTCTGGGCTTTACATGGATTCCAGTAAACAAAATGCTACACAATATAGCTTTTGTTCAGCAGCAGTCTTTCTCAGAATCCCTTTGCGAAGTTTTGAATAAATATTCAATTATTTACCATGCACTGTGCTAAGTGCTTTCCTTGTGGCACGTGACTTAATTGTCCCCAGTCATGGAGTGAGCATTTTTAACATTTCCCCTTTACAAATGAGAAAACAGACATATGAGGTTAAATGCTTTGCCTGAAAACCATATATAATATGGGATTTTGAATTCAAGCATTTTGATACAAGGAGCCCAAAAACTTACCTATTGTGTTTTAGCACTTCTATATTTAATGAATATAATTTCATGCTTTATAAATTTATTTCCACATGTATTTGGGGATCATTAGAAAATAGGTGAAGTCATAAGAGAAAATAGAAGTAAAAATGTGGTAGAGAAATAATGATCTTAAAAAATCATTTTTATGATAATATCAAAGTAACAGAATGATTCCAAGAATAATAGAAAGGAGTCCAGTATGCCTTCAGCCAGATTTCCCAACTATTAAAGACACAGAAGACACAACTGACACAACTTCATTATTAAAGAATCTCTCCATGCATTCCCTACATGTACACACACAATTTTTTCCAAACCAACTGAGACAAAACTGTAGGCATTATGATCCATTACTTGTACTTCCTATAGTATGCTCTCCTTTATAAAGAAAAAATTGAGTAAATTAACACTGGAGACCATATAATTTGCAAACCCCATTCAAATTTCACAAATGTTTTTTTGGGGTTTTTTTTTTTTTGGCACCGGGGATTGAACTTGGGTCCTTGCTTGCAAGGCAGGCCACTGAACCGCTGAGCTAAATCCCCAGGCCTTCACAAATGTTTCTTACAATGTACTTTATATCAAAGGAAAGTACAAGAATATTCTGTCCAAGATCCTTCTGAGATCTAGAGTTATAGTTCATTGTCAATTCTTTTTTCAGTCTGAAATAGTTCTCAATATATTTTTTACCTTCACATTTTTAAAGAGTACTAGCTAGTTTGTTTTGTAGAATTCTCTTTAATTTGTTTATTTATGCTTCCTTAATATTAGATTTGGTTATGGGTTTATGACATAGAAATGATGCTGTTTTTTTTCATGAGATCATACCAAGAAGACAATGTTTATTTTTTACCAAAGAAGTGTTAATTGTAATCACTGGATTAAGGTGATGATGACCAAGTTTCTTCAGTATAATCTATATAGTCTTGGTTTTATAATAAGTACCTTATATGGGCAATCCTTTGAGAAGAATGCATAACATCCTATTTTTTATCAAATCTTTACCTACCATTTTTATAGTCTACTGATGATTTCTACCTAAGTAATTATTTTGAAGTTTGATAATGATGAGTAACTTTCTATAATACCTCCTGTATTAGCTGGCATTGTACTATAAAGAAGAGCTTCTCTTATGTTGATTTTATTTATTTATTTCACTATTGTTTTGGAATCAAGGTACTTATTAATTTATTTTTTTAGTCATTGAGTTTATTGGTACATTTTAGGTATACAATACAGTTACATTCATTATTGGGATCTTATACTTTTACATGACAGGTATTGGTTCTCATTTTTTCCCCTTGTCCCTGCCCTCCCTTCATCGCCTCCTCCTCTCCCCATTTACAAACATTTTATTTCCATTTTTTTCATTTTCTTCTATTTTTTTCTTTTCCCTTATTAGCTTTCCCCTACGCTTCTGACTTTCCCTACACCTTTAGCCCTTTTCTTCCTATTTCACATTTCAATTATATCATTAGAATCTTATGTACTATTATAGTTTTTTCACACCAGAGAAACTGGTATTTACATGTGTATATTAAAATAAAGACTGATAAAATAGTCACAGTGTAATATATTATTGTCATCTTTCTTTTTTTTTTTTTGGTTTTTTTTTTTAGAGACAGGGTCTCACTATGTAGTTCAGACTGCCCTGGAACTCACTGTGTAGACCAGGTTGGTCTCGAACTCACAGCGATCCTCCTGCCTCAGCCTCCCGAGTGCTGGGATTACAGGCATGAGCCACCATGCCCGGCTATTGTCATCTACTTTGATGATCAAATAATCTTGTCCATCAAGCCAACTACTGTGTCCTCTTGAAAGTCCCTGTAGTTTTTATCATTTCCTTGCTTTATGACCAATAAAGATACTGGGCTCATCCTGTACTTTCCTTGCTCTTATGTTTAGAATGAAATATTTTTCCTAAGTCCCAGTTTCTCTTATTGGAGAAAGATATTTAATAACCAAGATCTGGGCTAGGTCTATTCTTTGCTAATGGGATACCACTGGTTTGAGGCTCTCTCAGCAAATAGAAATAGATAATTTAGAAAATATGATGCATCCACCCATCCATCCATCCATCCTTCCATCCATCCACATATTCACATAAAAAGCTATATCCATTTCTCTCTTCGTTAGATAGGAAGATCAATGAGCTCATCATAACTGATACCTCCAATTCCAATCTAACACCACTCCATTATAACTCTCACTCTTTCAATTTTTAGTATCTTTTCTGACAATGTAAAATCTCATTCTGGTTACTCTTGATTTTTTACTTAATTGGTCATTTTCCTAGGTATTTACAAACAATGTATGCTTGGCCCGAGCCCCACAGGACCCATTAGGTTTTGCCATCTCCTAGATCCTGAATACCTCCATAGCACATAGGAATATATTTTATTATTGCAATGTACTAAAAGAATAAGTATAGAAATGTAAATAGACCATGGCCTTAGGACCACATATTGGAATCTGTACGTGATGATCCAAGAATGTACCAAGTTCATTGATCAGCCCTCAAAATAGCTGCAGGAAAACAGGAAGTTGGCAGTTAAAGTATGGTACTATAAAACTGATTTTTATATTCAGGATATTATAAGCAGAAGATAATGTTTAGATAGTGAGTTGCAATGAGATATAGAGCTGTATTTAATAGGAATTGAGGAGCTACTGTCTAGTTTTAACCCGGGAAATATCCTAGTTCTAAATGTTGATGTTTTAGAAATGCCATTCCAACTGTTGTACTGATGTTAAAAATTGAGTAAGACTAGAGTGAAAATGGGAAACAGTTAAAGACACTACTGAAATACAGCCAGTCCTCATTTAACAACTGAGTTCCATTCTCAAGACTATGTTATTAAATGAATTGGTCATTAAGCGAGGAACTGTATTATATTAAGCGAGGTACATTATAATATTTAGAACAAATAAATGGTCAAAGAGAAGTCCACCTTGATAATTTGTTTTTATTTGACTAACTCTTACATGTAGTACTGTAATGGATAACAGAATATAAAACTGCAGTAGTGTATAGCAGAATCAACAAAAATTACACTACTGTATGAAGAAAGGATACTGTACAAAAAAAGACATCGAAGTTCTATAAACAAGTTGTACAGAACTGTACAAGAAAAAAGAGACATGGGTCACAAGTCTAAGTGGTAGGTCATAAACCCAAACAGCACACCTCAATTGTAAGTACAAACAGGCAAGTCATTAAACAAGGACTATCTGTATTTCAGGGAAAAGATCAAGAAAGCACTGAACTCAGGCAATATGTGAATTGAAAGGTAGGTCAAGAATTGTTGGGAGCCAGGGATTTAGCTCAGTGGTTCTACTGCCTGCTTTGCAAGTGCAAGGTCCCAAGTTTGATCCCCAGTACCAAAAAAGAAGAATTGGGAGACAGAATCAGTGTTATAATGGTAATTAAAAATGATGAGTGTGGAAAAAGTTGCAATGT